ATACAGTATGTATGTATGTATGTATATATATGTATGTATGTATATATATGTATGTATGTATATATATGTATGTATGTATATATATGTATGTATGTATGTATATGTATGTATGTATGTATATGTATGTATGTGTATGTATGTATGTATATATATGTATGTATGTATATATATATATATACATATATATATATCATATATAAATATATATCATATATATATTATGGTAATGATAATAACAGCATATGGCAATTGCATATAACTAGCTCTATCACAGTTTTTGTACAGGTCGGTTATTATTATATTAATATGTATGCTAAAAAGCTAAAATAATGGAAAATGGCAGCCATTTTAAATTGTAATAGCTCAAAAATGTGTACAATATTTAGTCAACTGTTGCTGTCATTGTTATAAGTGGATTTCCAATTGAATACTGCATTTTAATAACATAAATTTACAATATTAGTGACAATTTTAGGAAAAAATGGCGGCCATTTTGAAACGGCTGGCAACCCCCCTTACGTATGAAAAAAAAAATGTTGCACATACTTTTGGATTTATCTATGTCTACTCTACATCATATCCAATTTTTAAAAAATATAGCAAAAAAAAAATGCAACCAACCAAAGTTTGCTGGACTATTTATTTTTGTGTGGAACACTCAAATTTCAGTCTTATTTTACATTTTTTTCATTCTTAGGAATGTCTAAATTTATTTAAACTAGCAATTCCGTATTATATTTATAAATCTTTATAACATTATACAAAAATTAGATTTTTCTTAAAAACTGAAATTTTGCAAGGAATGGGGCTTTAAAGAACATAAAACAACATCATTACAACATAATAATAACAACAACAACAACAATCCTCATTCACCATCTATACACATTAAGGCCCTTCTTTTAGGTTAAAATGATCTATCTTAAATTTGTCCTTCTTGAGTTTGGGACTATTATGTGTTTAAGTAACTTAATAGGATAAAACTTAAAAAGCCCTAAAAAAATGCGCACCAAGCGCGCAAAATATTGTTGTGTTTTAAATTCTAATTTCGTCGGAATTGATGAAAACTCCCTAAAATGTGCAATTTATAGAGAATTGGCCTACCGTAACAAGAAATGCGCGCAAAGAATTTGAGAATTTTAGGCACTTTCAGAGGATGCATTTGTCAAGGGGTGGAGAAAGATTTTCCAAAAATTGATATTTTCCCCTTGTCCCCCAGTGTTTATAATGTTAATTTCGTTGGAATTGATCAAAACTCCTTAAAATGTGCAATTTTTAGAGGAAATTGGGCCATGTTAACAAGAAATGCGCGCGAAATTTAAGGTTTTTAGGCACTTTCAGTGGATGAAAAGGCATTTATAAAGGGGTGGGGAAGATTTTTCAAAGATAGATATTTTCACATTGTTCCCCAGTGGTTACGTCATCGGGCAGCATAGATCAAAGGAGTTATGACAGTTTTTAAAGTGGAGAAGGGGTTGCAGGGTGTTGTTGTGAGTCTGGTCATTATGATATCTTCATTTTTATTCTTGTCTTTATTTTTCTCTTCTCTTTTTCTTTCCTTTTCTTTTCCTCTTCTTTCTCTTTCCCTTAACCTCCCCTATTTCTTTTCTCTTATTACCCAGCCCGGTACGACGGCTTGATCAACCCGGTAAAAACCGTCAGAGGAGGGGCAGTCATCCCCCCAATGAAAAATATTTTTCTACGCCACTGTAGTCAGGCTTTGTTGGTAAACGTTACCAACTTAAAATTATGTACATAACTTATCAAAAGAATTTATTTTACTACAAACATCATTGACAATAATTATCAGGAAATATTGAGTAAACCTATTCCTTATGAATTATAGGTAAGGATTTTTGTCTGTCTGTCTGTCTGTCTGTCTGTCTGTCTGTCTGTCTGTCTGTCTGTCTGTCTGTCTGTCTGTCTGTCTACCTATCTACCTATCTACCTATCTACCTATCTACCTATCTACCTATCTATCTATCTATCTATCTATCTATCTATATCTGTCTGTCTGTCTGTCTGTCTGTCAATCAATCTATCTATTTAGATAAATGACAAATTTTAGTAGTTTTTATATATAAATTTTAACTTACTATACTAACTAACTAATAGTTAAAACCAAAAAAAAAAAAACAAAAAAAAAACCCAAAACAATCTACCTACTATATAACTGATCAATCGGTTAATCAATCAATAAATAAATTATTCAGTCAGTCAATTGAATAAATAATCAATCAATTTCAGGTAAAACCAAAAAAATAGATGATGACTACACCCAAAAACGATGATGAGGAACAAGAAAGAAATACCAGTCTGGTCACAAATGGTATAGTAGTCCTACAATCTTTCTACATTAAAATACTTGGTTCACATTATTGAATTGAATAAAATGTTGTAGTTTAATTAGTTAATCAATCAATTAATCATCTGAAATACAAGAAGCGCAGCGATGTAAACTGAAGATCTAGAATATGCACACAAAGTGACTACCAGCCAACTGAGCTATGCTAATCTCACACCATGTACACCAACAATCCATCCGCCCAACAGATCTATCCAACCATCTATTTATCAATCAATCAATCCATCCTTCCGTCCGTCTATCTATATATCAATCTATTTATCTATCTGTCAATCTACCTACCTACCTACCTATCCTACAGCCATCAAATTATCTATCCATTCATCATTCCATTATTCTATAGATCTATCCTTCTATCTCTCTATTTATCCATTCGTCAATCAATCCATCTATCAATCCATAAATCAATCAAACATTCCATCTACTCTCCATCAATCCATCCATCCATCCCTTCGTCTATCTCTCCATTAATCTATCGATCCATTCTTCTATCCATCCATCCATCCATCCATTTATCTATCCATCATCAATCAATATATTAATTAATCAATCACTCACTCAAACAATCAAGAATATCAGGGCACACAGTGGTTACCACCAGTTTAGCCCAGATCTAGGTTGCTCTGACATGTTTATTAATTTTTCAACCAGCCAATTCATTATTTTATTATTCAATTATTAAAGAAAGCAATTAATTAATTAATTAAATAATTAATAAATCAACCAGTCAATTAATTTAATTATTCTACTTATAACTCGAATTATTAATATATAAATGTATCAATCAACCGACCAACCAACTGATTAAAACCAACCAACTTATCTATCAACTAACAACTAACGAAGTAACAAGTCGTTAAACCAACCAAACAAACAATCAGCCTACCTACCGACTAACTAACTAATCAATCGGTTAATAAATAAATAAATTAATCAATTAATTTAATAAATAATCAATCAATTTCAGGTATAGAAGACGAAGATGGTGATAAGATGACTACACCCAAAACCAATGATGAAGAACAAGGAGGTAACAACAGTCCAGTTACTAATGGTAGTATAGTTAGATCTACAATCTTTCTACCTTAAAATTCACATTATTTAATTAAATACAATTTTGTAGTTCAATAAAACGAATCAATGAATGAATGAATTAATTAATGATTTAATGAAAGAATCGATCAATCAATCAATCAATCAATCAATCAATCAATCAATTAATCAATCAATAAATCAATCAATAAAAGCGAGTTGAATTGCAGAGCGGTTAAGGCAAGGGGTGCCGCAACCTACAGCCATAATATCGGCTTGTTTCTAACGCAGTCAGTCAGCAAGTCAGTCAGTCAGTAATAAATAAATAAATCAATCAATCAATCAATCAATCAATCAATCAACTATTCTATTTGTTTTATTACTCAATTAAATATTCTAATAATGTATCAACTAATCAATCACTCAATAATCAATAAATTAATTAATCAATCAACCAACCAATTGACCGATAAAGCAACCAACTTATTTACCAACTAAACAGCCAATCAACTTCCCTACAGTACATATTAACCAACCAACTAATCAACATTTAAAACAAACCAACTGAACAATCAACATGATATTTTAAATGACATACGAACACGTGATAAATATCTTGAAAAATTTAAGAAGTCTAAAAATAAAAATAAAGATGACCATAATATGTATTGTAAATTGCGAAACAAAGTTAAGCGTGATGTAAAAAAAAGCTAAATCTACGTATATTAGGAATAAGATTGTTGAAAATAATAATAATCCAAAGAAATTGTGGCAAAAGCCTAAAAAACGAGGGTACAGTAAAAAAGGAAATGAGAGATCTAAAATTGTTCTTGAAATGAATGAATCAAAAATTCACAACTCAAAAGATGTAGCTAGATGTTTCAATACTTACTTTACTAATATGGCCAATCACCTTGTTGACAAGCTGCCCCCTATGTGACATATATATAGTTATTCTTCTAAAGTTATCAAAGATTTTTATTCTTCAAAAGTTTCAAGTTCATTTACTCTTGAACCTGTTACAGAGGAATTCATTCTGAAACAGTTAGAAAACCTGGACCCTACTAAAAGTAAAGGTCTTGATGGGTTACCAGCAAGATTTTTTAAAGACGGTGCCCATGTATTGGCTTCTCCTATTACTTATATTATAAATCTGTCCATCACTACGGGATATGTTCCGAGTGACTTAAAGATTGCTAAGGTCACCCCATTGTATAAAAAGAAATGCCGTAAAAACCCAGAACATTATAGGCCCATAAGCGTTCTAAATATTGTTTCTAAAATTCTTGAAAAATCTGTTTATATTCAGTTAAAACAATACCTTGTTAACAATAATTTCATTTATCAATATCAGTCAGGTTTTCGACAAACTTATTCAACTGAAAGTACCTTAATTAATTTAACGGATACAATTAAATTAAATAATTCCAAAGGCATACATACTGGTATAGTCCTAATTGATTTATGTGGAGCATTTGATACTGTTGATCACGAGATATTATGTGAGAAACATGCTC